CACGGAACCCAAAATTAGCCTTGCCTACAGGTTGACCGTGGTCGGTGAGTGAACAGATATTTTTAAGTGGTATAGATTATTTATATTATATACTAGCTGACCCGGCAAACGTTGTTTTGCTAAGTAAGGTATATTCTAAACAATTTCTAGAGAATCAAAAATATCAATATTTTAAGTGTATAAGGATATTATGCCAGATGGCAAACAGGTTTAATGTCTTATTTTAATTTTAAATGTATTTTACAAAATATTACACTTTTAACTAATGCTAAAAAACTACCAACGGAAGAAAATACCTTTATTATGGATTTTCAAAGATTACAGATTATCTCCAGATAGCAAAGTCATAAGAATCAAGGTTATAGCTGATTATACATCTTTTTCCCTTTATTTTTCAATTCCTTGTTAAACAAAGCTTAACTTTACTTTTTTTGTTTTTGACACATAGCTGGTGGACCTTTTTAACCCGGACCTTCATATATTACTATCTATTCTTCGATAAATTCTGAAAAAATTAAACTGGGGAAATGTTATTCGGCAAAATGTCCCTTTGATCGATAACAAATTTAGGTTTTGAATTTTAATAACATAAATAAAAATAATATAACCTAGAAAATGTTTTATAAATACTAATGAGTATACAATTTTACAAATGAGATCTTTCAGATCACCGTGTTTAAAAAAATATGATTTGCAAAAAAAGAGTGCAACAATGCCAAAAAGTGCATTTTTATATTAACATTTCAAAAGAGTTGATATATTGAGTTTCTAGTAACACTTGCGGCTCGTTTACTAACGTTTTTATATATAAATAAAACTACAAACAAAGCTACTTACTACAATTTAACTATAATTAAATAATATTCACGTAAAATATCTTATTGAACGTAATTGAACATCATCTGTCAAAAACGTTTGACATTTCACGGTTAGCAACCTTCCATTGTTTTATTTAGATTACGCTTCTACAAAAATTTTCAAATTAAAAATAAAAAGTTTCTACGCGGATTTGAAATAATTTCTCACCTTTTGGACTTTCTCTGAATTGGCACGAATTTTTCAAGACTAAGACTGGCCAAATCGATTCAGCCGTTTTCGAGTTTTATTCGGACATTTGAAAGAGAGCTCCATTTTTATATATAAGATTACAATTTTATTCAGTTTTTTATTCCAAGCCAAATGTAAAATATCAATTATATTTATTTTCCTTTGTGAAATTTCAGATATTTTATTTATTTTATAAGATAGGGCGGAGCACAAGGTCCAATTTTATTTGAGCAATTATATTGTGACAACCAAACCAATTAGATCACCACAAAAAATACATCAACAACTATCTGACTATGTTCAGTAAAACTCCCAGCTAATACATAATCGTAAAAATGTGTTTTTTGCTGTTTTTCAAAAATTTGTCACCTGGCTTTTCTAACCCCATAGGCAAAGTGAAATGGGACATCCAGGAGTAAAGAGCTCCGATGTTTTATTTTTAATTTTGAAGGAATTGTACGAAATAATAATTATTTTAGTCTACCAGTGCAAAATATAAATACTTTTTTGCAGAGATAAAAATAATAATCTTCAAAAGAATTGAAATAACTATTTTAGTAATCAAATATTTTACCAAGTATTTTTGCACCTACGCATTTATAAAAATATATTTTATCTTTGAAACTTTTCTCAAAAGTGAAGCATATTTATATAGTCGAAGCGTATACCAATATGATATGATGCTGAACACGAAAACTTGAAAGTAAATTTTGGTGAATATAGCGGAGTATAAGTGATTTTTTAAATGGCTAAAAAGTTTAAAAGAGAAATTTAATATAGAAGTAAATAAAAAATGGTTGTATCTGATGAATTATTCAGATTATTCTTATCATAGTTAGTATTTAGGATCACCGTGGTTTACAGCTTGGCGGTGACTATTTAAGTACCGTTTAGTTTTCTGTAAATTGTAATATATTTTGTATGTACAATAAATGAACACAACTGCTACTCGGCAGTGCTCAAATTATATTTGAATTTGCTTGGCTTCGCGAATTTGCCATGTTCAATAGACACAATCACTACCGCATAATGAAATCTATAGTGCTCCTAGTTTTGACGATGAATGCTTCCAAATTTAGATGCCTCAATTGCAATATGTTCGAATTATATACATATATACACATATTTGAATATAACAGCAGTATATACATTTTATCATTACTACTCAAATATTTATCCCAGACTTATTTCTATATTTGACTATAAGATGTTCATATCGTTTATTTATTTTCAAAAAGTTGTAAAATAAACTATTAAAAGAATAGATTTTTTATTTAAATAATTAACTTTGGATTTATAAAACGCTATATGACATAATTTAGTAAACACATAAAAATTTGCTCCATTGAGAATAAATTTGAATATAATAACTTGTTTTATCAAATTTATATAGTGTTAAAGTTTATATTTTATATAGAAAATAATTTATTTCACGCATAGTTTGTCGTATAAAATTCTAGATAATATATCTAGATCTAATATAAATAAATCAGGGTTAATTTATACTTTAAGTGCTTTCACATTTCGTATTTTGAGGTGTTTTTTGATAAAGAATTACAAGTTTGATCGATTTATTTCATTTTTTTATAAATGATTTGTGAAATGGAGAACGTAAAATTTTAATATTATACAAGAACTGGTTAATATTTTCAAAAATCAATCATCAATGCTGCATGTGGTGGTGTTCCTAATATCTTTATTATTGCTAATTATGTTAGTTATTTGTTATTATTATTATCTAAATTGTTATCATTATTATTATTATTATTATATTATTGGTACTACTATTATTATTATGTTATTACCTTAATAGTTTGGACAAAGCACGCTCAAATTCGAACTTTGATCAACAATTTCTCTTAAAAACAAATTTGCGGCTTGGTTATAAATAAATATATTTATAAACTTACACTTTTATCACATTCACTAAATCGAGGATTTGCTTTTCTGCATTTCAGTATCAAAAGCAAGAATACTAGGCAATTCGGAGCTGTTCATTAAATCCGGAAGTGACATCAATTTAACATGTGTCGCCTTACAAGCACCCATACCTCCTTCATTTATTTACTGGTATCGAGGAGGAAGAGTTGTCAATTACTCACAAAGAGGAGGTGAGTAGTAGCAATTCTCTAAAATTGCCCACGCAATAATGGAAAACTTTTAAGACCAGTCTTTGGTAGCAGAATCTATGTCTAAGGATTAAGATTATATTCATTATATTATTATTATTATTATTATATATATATATATATATAAGCGTGTGGATTCCACATTTAATAGTCATAAGCATATCCTGAAAAATTTATCTATTGATAATAATATTGATAGCCCTAACATTATTTTCATCCAACTACGGAAAAATCTATTAACTAACTGGATAGAGAGTACTTTAATTTAATAATCTTTTCTATTATTTAATAATATGTTTATTCTTCAATATCTTGAATTTAAACATTTTCATTCACATTTTTTTCAAACTAAAGTTCTTTTAAATATGAAATGTTAAATTAGTGAAACTAAAGTACTTTTAATTCATAAATATTTTCTACAATTTATAGTTTCGTTCATATTTAATGGCGTGATTTACTACGATAGCATTTATTGACGATATTGCATAAATTTCTTCAAAATAAGATTTGATACAATTGCAAAATATTTCATAGATCTATCGTGAAATGAACATTACATATAGAAAATACTTATTGATAGAATTTTTGGCTATGAACCATTTTTTTGGGATTCTCATGAAACAAGAACCTAATTCTATATTTATTTCAATATTTAGTATTTGTACTTAAATTTTAAATCTGATTAGGTATAAGTGTTCTGACTGAGCGGCACACAAGGACCTCCAAGTTGCTTATTGCCCGAGCTATACCAAGCGATTCTGGAAACTACACTTGCGCGCCTAAAGGAGCTGGTTTGTATTTTAACATTTTATTTAAACGTAATGATCAACAAATCAAAACTGTTCAATTAAAATAATTTTAAAATTATTTGACTGGTTTGTATTTTATCATTTTATTTACGCGTAATGATTAACAATTCAAAACGGTTCAATTAAAATAATTTTAAAATTATTTGACTGTGTAATATAATTATACCTTACCGCAAAACGATAGAAAGTACATATTTCTGTTTTTGTAAAATTAAATAAATATTTTATATTTCTATATTACGAAATTCAAAAATCTATTGAATACTGAAAAATGTCTACAGCTAAGAGTAAGCTGCATTTTGCATTAAGGCAAGTTGGATGAACGCTTTTCAAACAAGCTTATAATATCTGTAACTCATCTGTAACTATAATAATATAAGCCAACTTATTTAACCCTTTGAGGACGGGACAGTTTGAAGTAAACCGTACCGTCGCGCCGAGCTCCTACTCTGTCATTTAAAATCGTCGACATATATTTCTGGCACTCTACTCAAATTCTAGCAATTCGACTCGTTGTAATTATATACACAGATTTTCCACAGGATAAATAAAATGTTCATTTATTAATTAACAATTCAGTTTGGTTTATTAACATTGAGTTTCTCAGCCATCGACATGTATTTTGGTTGGACGCATATATGCGTTCCTCGGCTCTAACAACTGCCCTCGCCGAACGCATATATAAGTTCTTCGGCCAATTTGATGATTTGCGTAAAACATATATATGCGGGGCTCGTTCTTAAAGCGTTAATAATAATAATACATTTCATTCTGCTTGGTGCTCTAAAAACGCGAAATTGTTCACAAAAATAAAATATTATGACATGTCATATATCATTTGTTTGGTTCGGATCCCTAGTCTACTACGATCCCACAGTATAAATAATGGACTTAATTAATAAGAAATTATTATATTAATTTATTAGTGATTCAAAAGCGTAGAACATCATAATGTGAGCAACATAAAAACTTTTATTATACATTATTGAAGATCGCACACGTGCCAAATACACACACAAAGTATTTTTCAAAAGCGCGTCCGAATAATCTATATTTTATTTAGTTACATAATTAAATCAGTAGGACAATAATATTTTGGTAGAATATTTGAAACTATGTACTCTATAGCCATGCAGATTCATTAAAATAGTCGTTTTTTTTTAACAACCAATTACGATCTTTGTCCAAAATTATTCAGCATGTTTCCGAAGTAATATGTTTCGAATAGTTTCTGAATTCTTAAAATCGATTCAGAATTTTTAGCTAAAACGCGAACGAAAAATTTTGCACTTTTTACACGCATACAAACTCATATACTTTTTTCATATTTGGACTCATTCGATTCAAAATGGCTTGAAACGTCGATAAAATATAAAATAAGCAAAGCGGATTTTTTTGGCAAAAACAAACTTCTCCTTTGAGAAATTAAAAATGTTGCTCTTTTCGTTTCGTTTAAAGTCGTTTAAAGAAACGACTCAGCCGATTGTTGAGAAAATGATAAACTTTTATCAATTTTGGTGTTAAACAAGTCAAAATGATTTGAATAATCAAGAAAACATAAAATTAGCAAATCGGATTTTCTGTCGAAAACATAAACTTCTTCTTTGGCAATTAATTTCAATGTTATTAAGCATTCATTTTTTAGATTCAGCAAGCGTCATGGTGCACGTGCTGAACGGTGAACACCCGGCGGCCATGCAGCACGGCAACAACAGCTGCGGCGCCTGCAGCAAGTGCAAAGTCAACATCGTTTTACTGTTCGCTCGGAATGGAGGCTGTTTTATTTTCTTACTTCTGACGCATCGTAGCGTCTTAAACAGATAAAACATCTTTGTTTATTATTAACATAAATAGGATAGTTTTCTATGCGTGTCCACGAACATTTAAGTGCGATCCTACAATTACGACATTTGTAATAAAGTAACATATTTGTAAATTCAGATACGTGTAAATAGTAGCGCATTATATTATTATTGTGACTTGTGAATATATCTTGATTTATATAATCAGAACTGTGAATGATATGTGAAACACATTTTGGAATTGTATATACTAGTTATACTATAAATTACTATATAATAGTCATTGTGTTACATATTATTTAGAAAACTAATATATATCACTGTTTAAGAGATATCTATTGAAATTATGAAATTACAGTTACATTTAAATTATATGTTACAAAGTTGCTACTTAATTATAGAACTTCTATATATACCACAAGCATACAAGACAGATGGTGAATGCTCGTTTAAAATTTGACAATATATATATATATATATATATATATATATATATAAAAGTTTTTCTTTTGAAGGTTTTCTTTTAATTTTTACAGTAACAACACACCTGTTTTCTTTTACTTTGAAATATAAGACTTAATTCTCTGACAGAGTCACCGATTTTGTTTATAAAATTAATTGTTTAGAGTTTAGACTGTGACGGTGAAAGTTCCCAATAAATCAGCATATTTACAACTCAAAAAATTCAAAACAATTTAAAACAATGTTTTCTGAGCACATTATTAACTTCAAACACTCTTTTAATACCGACCATCCCATAATTTTAAATAAAGAAAAAAATGTGGACCTTAGAAGATTTTCCGAATCTTGTTTTATCTTTTTAAATTCAAATTGTGTGAATAAACGCAGTTCTTCTTGCTTACTTTCAGAAAGCTATCAAAATTTAATTAATGTGTAAATCTGATTTTCTACTACGCCCCCACACACACTTGTCGGTCGCCCGTTTCTCGTGTTCGTTGCGTTTAAAATTGGTTATTTCATTTACCTTTTTTAGTTTTTTTTTCAAATTGTTTTTGTTTCATATATATTAATTTAGAAATATTAAAATATTAATAAAAATCACTCTTCTTGCACTAATTTATTAAATAATATTAATTTTACAAACGTTTCGAGATTAGGTTTGTCTCATCATCAGTGTATTACAATCTAAAATTTAAAATATGAAAATCTAAAACAGCACTACTTATGTGTTAGCTTTTCCAACTTGTTCTTCTTATTAAATGCACGTGCCATACGAACTGTAAGCGGCTGAAATCCTTTGACTGACTAGGCTAACACATAGCGCTTTTTTAGATTTTTTAAATTTTAATTTATAATACACTGATGATGAGACAAACCAATCGAAACGTTTGTAAGATTAATATTATTTAATAAATTAGTGCAGAAAAGATAGTGCTGTTTGCTCATATATATGTATGATTTTTAAGATATCCAGTTTTAGGTAATGTTTCGTCCTTTCATTTTTGTGATTTTTTTTTCTGGGTAATGAAATGTATAAGTTAAGTTAAGGATTCTTTCACAAAAATGCTACTTGATGCGTAGCTAAATGCATGAAAAATTACGATGTTATTTAGTTCTATATATTTCTCTATTATTTTTGTTATAATTCAATTATAATCATACGAATGCATATATGTTCAAGTGTATATACGAAAATATTTTTTTTATTGTATAAGCGTTTTGTGTGTGTATGCAGTACTGAAATACAGGCAAAGGAACATATGATTTGCGTTACTAGTAATTGCTTAAAACATAGAGAATACTCATAAAAAATCTAATAAAATTGAATATAATTTGAATACATTAATATATATTATATGTATATGTATGTATGTATATGTATATATATATATATATATATATATATATATATATATATATATATATAGAACTGCATGTGTAAATACTAAAGCATTTATTACTTTTATCACTTAGTTTATACTACCCAGACAACACAAGACATCCTGGAAAACGTCCACAGGATATCCACGCGCGGACATTCATTGTCCCTGCGATAGCCTTACGGATATCCCGCTTATCCTGATCTTATCCGAAACATGTTAATATGTCGCACCTATGGGACGTTCTGTAGGATATCCCGCGCGGGATATTCCGGACATAAACCGGACATGAATAGGATATAATTATGGAATTGTTTTTTACTTTTTAGATGAAAAATAAATTTGGATTAAAAATAAAATAAAAGAACACAATTTCACAAAGTAAACTTTTATTACAAAATAACAAAATCCTGAGATAATTTTATAACAAAATTTAATATATACAACTTTAATTCAAAATAACTTATTTTACAATATTAAAAATATAATTAATTCGGCATTCAATCCTAGTTCATGGTTGATTTTCTCTCCTGAAATAGAAAACAAATGAATAAATGCATATATATGTATATGTATAAATATATATATATATATATATATATATATATATATATATATATATATCTATGAGTAAGTTCTTTAAGAGCGATACATCAATCAAAATAGACAGAGATTTATAAAATAATCTCTAATTCCAAATATATCGACACAATTTGATGTCATTACGAGTGAATATTAAACTTGGTTTTTTACATCTAAAAATGTGTACACAGCACAAATTTTGCACTAACATTGATACAACTAACCAGTCAATAATCATGATTTTTTTGTAAATAGGAGAAACATATAGTACACATCTCACAGAAATACCTTGTATAACATTTATTGGCACGTCGCAGCCAGCTTTTTGCAGCCTCTAAAACAGCAAACTATGTCTCATGCGGCAAATTTTTCAAAGCAATTCCTGGAATTAATTATATATTAGTTTTATTCATAATTTACAACACATCATAAGTATAAGATATATAAATTACCTGTGATGACATCGCAAGGCACTAGATCACAAAATTTATTTTTGCCCTTTCCTCGTCCCTAGCAAAATTCTTTTGGCCAAACCATCATCAAAAATGGATTTTCATAGCTGGACTCTGATGGCTAAATACAGAATCTAAAGAGAAAGTTTGTTTAGTATATGATAAAGTTAACAAATAAAAATAAATCTATATAAACTTTTGATTACCAATTGTGTTTTGATCCACAAGTTGAAGCTCCTCCAACAAACATAATAGAAAGCATTTCAAAAAATATTTAATTTAACTTTTGAGTATGGTTCGAGTCAAACCTCAAAACCAACTCTTTCAATGCTCTTTTTTGTCAATCCTCTTTCAAACACGGCTGCAGTATTTGTAACACACACGCACATATAATTATATAGAACACATAAAATTTCCACTATTATTACTCAATTTTAGAGTATTTTGATAAATAATATTAATTATTTATAACACACGCTCATATAAATATATAAAACAAATAAAATTTTCACTATTATTACTCAATTACTCAAAAACTATGACATATAGCGTCTATTGATAACGCTGAAACCTTAAAGGACGCTCCGTGCCTACAGCCGACGCGACGAAAGAGAAAGGAACAAACATATACGTTTAGAGGTCTCAAGCCGTGCGCGTATGAAAGCGACATGCTCGTGAATCGTGCGTTATACCTGCTCGAGTCCTTTGGGTTTGAGACGTCCCGTTGCATATTCATAGGATATTCATAGGATATCGCGATATTAGGAGATTGTGAGGACAAGTGGGACATTCCCTGGCATGTCTTGTGCTGTCTGGGTATATGAGTATATTTTTATACTACATATTATGATTACATTTTAGTAAAGAACAGTGCTTGTAGTTTGTAAATGGAATGTATATGTATATCATAAGAAAAACTAGATTTCGGAATAAATATATGTCTAGAATAGTTGACAATGAATACTTGATATTATAATGAAACAATAATAAAATATACTAAAGAACTGTATGAATGAAGTTCATTATTAAATATTTACATATGTATATATAATTTCAGATTAGAAATTTATTATCATGTGAATGATTTATTGAAAAAAAAAGAAAAAAAACTACACTTATGTAGGTAAATACAAATAGTTGATATATTAATCATATTGAAAGTGCATTTAAATACCAAATAAATACGAAAACCATTTTTATGTGCTTTGAATACTTTAGTAAAACACCGAAATTAAATTGAACAAATTTTTTAAATTATTTTAATTGCATTATAATTATTATTATCTAAATAACAAATATTGTAACAATAAAATTTCAACTAGTCACCTGATGTTAACATCAATTTAAATAATATTCGTTTTGTGCATCATAGCATTGAAAAGAACTGCAACGATTCTGCATGAATGCAACAATTACTTAAATTCTGTTGACCAACATTGTAGCCAGAAATAATAATCATACTAAATTTGTTTTTTATATCAATTTATAATATTGCAGGTATGCAAAAATTCCATAATCCATCTATTATACTGAATAAACATTTCGAAACAAATTATACAAAATATTAAAAAAAAAACAATTTAACTATTATTATAATTTGTGCACAGATTTACAGCATGTTTACAGCAACAGTTTAATTTTTGATTGAAGATTTTTTTAACAAAAATTGGATAATTTGAACCAAAAATAATAACAATACACAATAATATAAATTGTAGAACTGATTTAAGCCGCAGAAACAAACATATTAGGATAATGTATCAAAATATAATTTATTTACATTTTAGCAAATGTTCGTTGTATATATTTAAATAAAATACAAATTAATATATTATACATTAATCATTTAATAGTATTGTACTGATCTTCTTTAAAAATGAAACCCTTTTGACGTAACTCAGATTTTGCTGCTGCGATTTGATTTTGCAATTCTTTAGCTGCTTCAGGACAATCATTAAAAGTGAATACACCATAAAGAACTGCTGAGACAGAGTAAATCTGTAACACAATCACTTATTGAGACTTATTCATAGCATCTTCTACAGTTTTATTTACTTACACCAAATAAAAATATAAGAAGCAATGGTAAAGGTAATATCAAATGAAGCCAGTCATCAAGAAAAGGTATGTGAAGTGTTTTTGTAACAATACTACTCCATATGCCCAAAACACAAGACATAACAAATGTCCATTCTACTAACTTGGTCATTTTGCTATTCTAAAAAGAATTGAAGTTAAAATAATCTGAGACCCTAGACTTTCTCATCTGAAAATGTCATTCTCTCACTACCAGTAGATTCTATTTGGTTATCAGAAAATATCGTGATTTTTCTGCAATAAGCATTGGTTGGATTTCAAATTGGATAATTAAGGAAGATTATTAGGTTATCAAGACTATGAAATTGCTGATGTCAATGCCGATAAGAAAAACATATTGTATGTATGAGCATTGCCTAAGAATTTACACACCAAAATATTGAAAATTAAAAAATTCAAATTTTCTCAAATATGACTTAAAAATAAATTTTCTTCTAAATCACAATTATTTAACGTCAAATGTAACAAAATAAAGCTTTGAACGCCTTTTGAAAGCTTTGAACGAGTTTTGACACTGCATTGTGCTGACCGCTGTCAAATTTGACAGCGTACAGTTCGCCGAAAATATCTGGTGGCGGCGTGGCAGCATCGCGCCAATTTTTGGGTCCAATCTTTCATTGCATAATTTAAAATATCTATGTTTTATCATTGTTAATCAAACACTTGTCAAAACAAGTTGTTTTGCACAGAACCATAGACAATATAATAATGAGAACAACAGAACCTTTAAGGAGACTACAATCAATTGTAAGACGATGTCGGGGCTGAAATTAATCATTCTCCAACTTAAATTGGGGACCGTTGTGATTAACACATGGTTAGTGAAAGTGTTGATTATTTTGTGTATTTATTATGTTTTTTAATAGTAGATATAGTTTTTTCATAGTGGATTCGCATGAATAATTTATGCTTTTTGTATGATAATCGTCTAGCATCGACTTGAATTAGTAATTAATAATAATTTAATTTGCGTCAATCGTTAAAACTAAAGTACTTTTACTGCTATGCAGAGCTATTTACTTTTAAAATTGTTGTTTTTAGAATTTTGGTGCATCAACTGTACTCCATGAGTTTCAACCGCATATTTATGCTATGGTTGGCCAACTTTTAGTCTTGTGTACAACTTCACAGAGTAGTGATCCATGTCAAAATACAAGGCTTGTCTAATAAAATAAAATCTAAATCCAAACATATAAAGTAAATGTGCTCAGACAATGCATTTACATAAAGTGCATATTTTCTGTTTTTCAAAAGAATCTTAACCTAACATTACGTAACATATAACAAAACGAAGATTATCATAATGCTTTATATGGCAAATTGTTCGAATTTACGTATCTGTAACTAGATGTGTTTACATTAATACTTTATACTCACATACGAATATTTAATTTCAATCAGCATAAATGTGATTTGTTGAAATGTACAAAACAAATCAAATGATGAAAGCTGCTGCATCAGCGGCAGCAAAAGTAGATTCTCTACTTATGGCAAAAGGAAAGCTAAGAATGGATAACCCAAAACTTGGATTGCTACCAACGCCTGGCAAACCAAATGATCTTTTCACTACTGAAGTAGAAATTAATGATACTCCGTTATCAGCTAGAAATCTTCTTACAAAAGTAAGCTATCTATTTGTTGTAATATAGAATATAGATCTATTTTTACCAGTAATTTTTGTGATTAATTTTATTACTTTGAGGTGATTTGTCACTGTTGTTATTTTTTTATAATTATAAATTGTATTAACTTTCAAGGGGCAAACCCAAGAAGAAATTAGTCAATATTCGGGTGCAGCAATATCTACTCGTGGACGGTATATGACTCAAAATGAAGGACTACAAAATCCAAATGATAGGGCATTATACCTGTTTATACAAGGACCGACTAAACAAAGTCTTGATTGTGAGTATTATTCATTCAATTTTGTAGTTCATATTTTTTTAAACTCATAAAATAAATTATTTATTAACTTTTCATGTTTATTCATTTTTTAGTGGCCATACAAAGAATTCATGAAATAATCCGAAGTGAGCAAAATCAAACAAATCAAAGATATTTATCTCGTAATAAACCTCAACTACCTCCTTTAATGAGCATTCAAACAAATGTTACATCCGTGAGTAATTTTTTTTCTGAACTTCAGGTCCATAAATTTATAGTTCAATGAATAATATTTCTATTTAGATTGACAAAGTTATGGTTGGTCTTGATCATGCACCTCCTGCATTTGACTTAAGAGGAAGAATTATTGGCCAAGGTGGAACAAATTTAGAATATATACGAACTGAAACTGGGGCTGTGGTAACTTTAAGGGGTAGAGGATCACTGTTCACGGAATCTGCATCTGGGACTGAATCGCCTGAACCACTTCATTTTTTTATAGAACATCCAAGGTAAGTATCTATATTCTTACAAGAAAAACATTAATTGATTGCAAATGATTTTTTTTGTTTTGTTTTGTAATAAATACAATATTTTTATGTGATTTATTGTAGATATGATGGAGTTGTAGCAGCACGTCAACTTGCTTTAAATCTAATTGAGACATTACAGCAAGAATTAGCACAATTTTTGCAAACTAATCCACCAAGTATGGTTAATATTCAAGCAATACCACAAAATACTATGCAACAGAATATTGTTCAGCATTCCCCACAGGTAGGTAAAAATTATATTAATAATTCTACATTACTTTTATTTGTGGTTTCTTTAACAGGTATTTCCTTCTGTTCACCAACCTATTGCAATACCCCCTCCAATATTATCAGGACCACCTCCAGTTCAACATCCGCAGGTTCAACAAAATATTTTAAATCAACATAATCTTATCAATCAATCAGCTTTGCAAGTTCAACCTTCTTTAAACATTATTCAACCAAATATTCAACCAAATGTTATAAATGCTCAAGGTAATCTTATAGTTTGTTTTTATAATAAATTATAGAAAATTTTACAGAACGAGGTATAACTCCACAGTATAAATAAATTCTTCATTAAAAAATTATTTTTAGGTATTATACAACAACAACAGATACAACAGCCTTTACTTGTTCAGCAATCTCAATCAGGAATGGTGTTAAACAATGTTTCACAAAATATTCAATTACCACAGGTTAATCTTCCCCCGCCTGGTGTCCATATTCCACAACAACAAGGGCCATTGGTAAAGGAAAAAAAAAGCTATTGCAGAATTAATTATTTTCAATATCTTATCTTTAATAGTAATTATATTTTATTTTTAGGTTTCAAGTAATATTCAATCAAGCCAGCAACAACAAATTCTCTTATCTCACCCTCCACCTACAATGAATATTCCTCCTCCCAACATGCCACCACCAAATCAAGGGTTGATAATTGTTAGTTCTGCTCCAAGTCAATATTCGCAACAGCCGCAGGTAAAAAAGATATGTTAAATTTATTTCAACAAAGAATTGTTTTAACAATCTAAATTCAAAACATTGTTTTGAACTTGTTTTTCCTCAGATGTTTGTCAGCCAAGCTACACAAATAAATCCTGTTCAGAGTTTAAACCAGCAAATGAATACCCCCTATCAGTATCATATAATACAAGGATCTAATCCTATTTATGCAACAGCACAGCAGCTAGGAAACTCTGCAGGTGGTGTTGTGACTGGACAGATAAATGAACTTAAACCAAATGCCGGTAATTATTTTAATATACTATGAGTTAATCAATCTTTTCATCTGCACTATACAATCATGAAAATTATTGAGATAAATAAATTTCACATGTAAATTTTCATTATTAAACAATATATTGGTATTGAGGTGAACTTATAATTGCAATTTTAATTGCAGGTCAACAATTTCAAACTATGACTGTTCAACAAGTTTATCAACAACCTATTATAACTGGCCAAGAGCAGATAGTTACTCAAACTTTACCCCCAGGTAGCTTGAGAAATAAAATTATTGAATTATGTAATTAATAATAAATTTTCTTTATATATATATATGTTCAATCATCTTATTTTAGGACAACAATACATTGTGGCTCCAAATTCTGGTCCAATATATATTGTACCACCTCCTTCACAAACTGTACAAACACAACCAAATCAAACAATTGAAACTATCTCTGTTCAATCTCATCATCACATAATTCCAAATTCGATACATAATCAGCATGATCCACAATCAATTATTAATCAAACTGTTACCATTGACAACAGTGCTAACATGAATCAACTACAGAATATTCAAACTGAACCAATTGAGAATAGAGATAAAGATACAGAGGAAGTCAAAAATCCTCTTACAGAAAATACAGCTTCTAGAAATGAAAATGATGCTAAAGAAGATAGCTCAAATGATTCATCAAATCCTCAAGTAATTTTTATAATTAATACAAACAAGTATAATACTATAATTTATTCACTTTTAATAAGACTTTTGCAATTGCTACTTTCACAATACATTTAATTTGAATTTTATCTCTAATGAATTGACTAATCTCAATTTAGATAATTTCATATTATTTTATTTAATGATTTTTTTTTTAACGATATGCAGGAAAAATCGGTTGCTGTAGAGTGTTTGTCACAATTGCAGCCAAATCAAGTTGCATCTCAATCAGATTCTGCAAATAATATTGATACTCATCAAATTCAGAATCAAGATAATTTACATCAAGGGTCTGCCAATAATGAAGTTTTTTTGAACCAAGCACCACCACCTACTCAAATAATTCAACATCAAATGAATCCACCTCCAATTTTACAAATGCCACCACAGATTGTTCCACCTCCAAATCATGCTTCACCGCAGATGCCAATGTTTTCAGTTGCTAATCAGCAGATTATTGCTAAACCGCAATTTCAAATTAACAGTCAGCCACAAAATTGGGTTCAAACTCATCAACAGAATTGGATCCCAAATACTAGCCAAATTTTAACACATACCACAAATTTGACTGGCACACCATACCAAACACTACCCAATCAATTTGTACAGAATCAAGGTCCAAATTCGACATTGTTAACATCTCAGATTTCAAATCAGGAATTAGATGAAGAGAATAGGCAACTAAATCAACAAAATCTTATGGTTTCTGTCAATTCCAGCACTTGCAGCATACAGAATAATTTGGATGTCACAACTATGCAAGCACCTTCTCAGAATGTAAGTTTTTGACTTGCACTTTTATCTTACTATTAAGTTTATCTCATTGTAGTATAAATTTAAAATTTTTATGGATTATATTAAATTTTAGATGGTGTCTCGGCCAAGAATAGGACAGAAGAGAAAAATCTATGATGAAAACTGGAGATTTAAACAAGGAATAGGGTAAGTGCATTTTATTTACACCTTAATATAGTTTTAGAATATTAATCCCAGCTTTATGTTTTAATTAAGATTAGCAATTAATTTAAAAATTAATTTTCAGTATTGATAGATTTAAGTATTGATAGATTTTCCTAAAATGATTGCAAATATAAGATTAAATGAACCATGAATTTATTAAAACTGAGAGAAGTATATAAATAAATTAAATTTCTCAGTTGATCATTCTAATCTAAATGCAAAATAATTGGTGCTTATAAATAGACGAGTTAGAAAGAAAATCATTTTTCTTAACTTTTCAGATAAGTTTGTTTCTTTAGAAAAACCGATTTGAAAATTTTTGTTCTCAACTTTGCAAGTAATCTTAATCGTTTGACACTAAAAATGGAGAAAGTATGCATATGCTGAGTGTATGTATGTGTGTGAGGAAAACTTGACAATTTGTTGGTTTTCTCAAAAATGGCTGCATTGGTTTCAAGCAAAATTTATATCCATTTTTTTCAACTCGAAAAGGCTCATGCTGAATAGTTTTGCGCGACAATCCGAATCAATACAAAAATTTTCACCAAAGTTTTCGTGTAACCAGTTATTGGTCATAGTATTATTGATGGAGTCGATTATTCACACATGTCGAGATGTTCATGCTACCTGCCTTAAGGCAAAATGTTACTTACACTAAGTTTAAATTATAAATCTTTCTGGTAATGTTTGAAATGGTATTCATAAGTACATAAAGAAACGAAGTATAACAAATAATTTATGAAAAAAATTAATACATTTTCCATATGGATCTCATGTAATTGTCTAAACTATAATTTTTATGTTATTCCTGACTCCATTCAAATCGACAACATAATGAACTAAAAGAGATATAATTTCAAACTGTAATTAAATGGTGATGGCAAAAATCATAATAAAAATCTTATCATTCAGATTTAATGCAAATTGATGGTTAATATATTAAATTAATACTGATATATGAATATAAAAAACACATTAGCACACACATATACAACAGAATGTTCATTCATATTATACACATTTGATTCAGATTTTAAACAATCTACAGATTATCAATATTTCAGTTTGTCATGGACACTCTTTTATTTACTAATTATATATTCTCATAAGCAATATTTTAACACTATGCAAGAAATCGAACACTAATTATATTATATTTACTTATTAACTTTTCATTGATCTTTATTCTTCTTTACAGCTTTATTATTTAGCTTGCATCATTTAAGAATGGGAAGTATCATTTTTCACCAAAAATGATTAAGATTTTTATAAACAGTTTAGATAATATTAATATCATCAGCAAATAGAGTGAAAAAATATAAATCAAGTGATAGGTGCATTAGCAAAAAATAAGTTTATATTTACTAGTTTTTATTCTCTTCAATTGAAAAGCTATCAGTATTCATTCTATAGAACATGTAAAATGTAAATATATAAATTGTATTATGAAATTTTTAAATGCATTGCAATATATTGTGATTTAGTTGTATTAAACTTCACATTTGCTTTCGAAAATTTATAATAATCACTATCCGAAAAAAAAAAAAAAACACACTTCTTGTGACATTAATAGGTTTTACATAGGTTTCAACCAAACCATTTAGGTAAAATATTTTTTTTAATATATGCAATATTATTAATATTTAGATTAATCCGAGAACTGCAATTGGTTATCAATCAAAAATATTTTTCGTGCCTGTATTAACAATTTATTTTAAGATATTTATAAGTACTATTAGCTGATCATTGCTCTTTGGATTTCCAACGGGATATAATTTGGGGGATGTTGTGAATCTAACATGATTTTTTACACAGAAATGGTGGTATGATGGGACCAAATTCAAGATATCCAGCCCCTTCTCCAGCAGTCGTTAGTCAACACAACAACAATGTTAACATAAGACATCAGATCCCGAAAGGTATTGTAACAGCAACTCAGAAACTGACCTTGATACACTTGCTATTCATTTTTGACAATGTAGTGATTTAAATTTATTGCTGAATTGTACTCGCATCGATCTTTGTTTTTATGTTGTTTTTTTTAGTTTATTATTGGTTTCATAGTTGTTGATAACGTGGTGGCGTTGCTGTATATCGTTCCCGCAGACTACTTCGAATTTTAATTCTGCATGTATATGATAAACACAAATTTCAGAAGGTTCCTGAATATTTATTTTAATAATTTTGTTTAAGCTGATTGTATGATTATCTTATTAATAATGATCTCTAATTTTAGTTTTTTGTTCTTTAATAATAATTAAAGACATAAACTATTTGAATATATACTCTTTCAAAAACTAATGCAAAATGAATTCTTTTTTTTGTTTTTGCTCTTTAGGACTGGTTCTTCTGATCAATAAATTCGGGACTCAGATGATTGGATGGTGCGCAGACTTCATTTCAAAATTCATTTGTTCATGAATATTTTATTTATTATTGTAATATTTTCTGAAGTTTTAGGAGAAAAGGCTGTAACTGGAGTATAAATTTGATTTTGGTAAAAAGTTAATTCAGATCATTTTTTATTATAATTTTAACTTTCAGTGTGCAATGTTGATAGATATATATTTATATCATAGTTAACACTATCAGTAAATGTGTTAATTTCAGATATACTACGTAAATTTTAAAAGCACATACTAATTCAATAGATTTTCTTGTTTCCGTATTTGTCAAATGTTTTTGTTTCTTATTTACCCCGTGGAAATAATTGTATTTGTCCGAATAATATATTTCTATTGATAATAGGCTCAATTTGTTATGTTATATGAAATTAAAATCATAAAATTATCACAAACATATTAATGATAATATTGTGTAAACAGGCGTTTTGCTTAGGCTTTTTCTTTTTTTTTTCTCTGAAATATTCTAATGAAGTAAATTTAATAATAAATGATGATCTGAAAATAAGTGTACCAGTGTCGACAATTATTTTACTGTTTTGTTTACTATGTGTAGGTGATCACGTAGATCTAAACTCCCTGGAATCGAACGATCAAAATCAAGTGCCGCCAGGATATAATCAAGATCACATTGATTCATTTCGTGGCCCACCTATGAGAGTTATACAAGGGTATGATCCAAGAAGTAGAATGCCTCCTCCACCTCCTCCGCCACCGCAGCGATCAGCTATACCACAGTATCAATTTAACACATGGAATGTGCAAGAACATAGTCCACCTCAATATGCACAACAACACGGGTCAAGGCAATGGATGGCCTGAATTTATGTAACTATATAACTTACTTTTAAGAGAACTTTACAGAAGTAACTAAAATCAAAAGCAAGTATATGAGCCGACTAAAATTTATCTGGCGCCGTTTCATCAGATTTATTTGGAAAACCAAATTATCTTCAAAAGTTTCATAAATCTCGAGCTTGAATTTATTTTGTTTTAAAATATCAATTGATTGAGCGATTAGAACAGAATGTTGAATTATAATTAATCACAATGTGAGAGTGTTTCTCATAAACTGCCATGCCAAAAGAACGGTTATATATGTTAATGAATATTACATCTTGATATTATTTCCAAAATTAAATATTTTTAACTTTGCCATAACTCTGATAGTGTTTTTATAGAAGTTAAAAGTTATAGATGTGAAGAAAGGCATTCTTAAATAAAATTTCTAAGTTGTTTATACTAAATATAGGCCTGAATCTTCAATTATATTAGGACATAACTAATTTACCTGATAAATTATAACTATGATAATTTTAAAATGTAAATAACACTAGTGTACAAAAAGTACATTATATATATATATATATATATATATATATATCTGTTTGTGTGATAATTTTTTGGATGGTGATAAATATGTTGATAAAACTATAAACTTTTTAAGCAACTAT